TTCATACTAAAGTCTCCCATGTAGAAACGGATGGGAGAATAACAGCAACTCATGGCTAGATTTACTTCTGGCCTTTCCTTCAAGAGCTCAAGGCAATGTTCTTAACGTTGCACCTTCTAGCTTCAATTCCCACAACAAAAGCTGGTTCAGTAACCAGATCCATGCAACATGCTGAGTGGATTTTCTCAATTAGTCTATTTTCTGGGTTTGCATCACACATGATATCTTGCATCCTAAACCACTCAATGGTGTGAATGGCCAACTGGGTACATATCTACCAAATAAAACCACCACCAGGTTTAGCAGGTTGTGCAAACGTCACCGCTGAGTTCCAGGCTGGATGTCTGCTGTCTTTGATCCTCTACACAGGGAGCGAGCAGGTATCTCAGAAAGAACATGCATCCAGGTCATTCTCGACTTACAACTGGACGCTCAGAAACTGTTCAAAGTTCCACGGAATGCAACATAGCTACTTTCGACCCAGATTTGAAGTTTTGACAGCTGCTCACCCCAGTCATGTGATAAGGGGGCTGTTTCACATGACCAGGGCGGCCAGCTGTCATGTTTGGAATGCTTGGCAACTGACCAGCATTAATGGCTGTTTGCAGCATCCCACAGTCACACGACTGTAATCGATGACATTTTTGCAGGAGACTGGCAGTTACTTCTGGTGTCCAGCAAAAATAAACGTCCCATAGAGAACAATGAGCTTGCTTTATGACCACCACAAAAAATGTCATAAACTCGGATCAGCCTCTGAACCATCTTCACGACTTGTGGGCTCAATTATGGTGTAAATCCGGGACGACCTGTGATGTAAAGGGCGAATTAATTTTCAGGAGTGTCCATCTGAAACCTCTGCAAAACCTTGCATGGTTTCATTGCAGGAAGAGAAGGAGAAAAGGCGAGCTGGAGGCCATTCTCAAATGACTGAGCTGCAACGTGCATCAGGCTGTCCTGCAGGACTAAGGACAGCCACCTGAGGACATGACCTCCTAAATCCCAGATTCCTCTTGTGCCAGGCGACACTAAAGTTAGCTGCTGATATAAGGAGGCTGTGTCAGGCCTTCCAGAGGAAGCAACTCTGCCAACAACTACCCTGGGCAAATGCCAAGAGCGAAAACTATAGGTACTTCAACACACCACAATACATATACACACCTGCATTCCTCAAGCACACGGTTTCCCTGCACCCTTCAATTCATGCCCCATCACTGCCAGCCAGCATGTCCAGGACAGTAATTTTCTTGGAAAGGGTGAAGGTAGCTGCCAACTAAGGTACCTGAAAGGCCTTGGGCAAAGCAGGACTTTGAGATTCTTTGTTTGGATCCATACAATATTTGGGCTAAACTAAGCTAAACTAGGATTAGTGCATTTGTGATACAGCATGTGGCAACCCAGCCATTATTTGATAGATTATATGAAGTGCAGATAGTACTCAACTTATGACCATAGTTGGACCAGATTTCCTTGCGAAGCAAAGCAGTTAGTAAGTAAGTCACACCTGGTTTTATGACCATTTTGCCACTGTTGTTATGTGAATCACTACACTTGTTAAATGAATCCGGCTTCCCCCAGTGCCAGAAGCCAACTGGCTTGGCTGCAAATGGGGATCACGTGACTGCAGGACAACCGCAAACATTGCAAATACATGCGGGTTGCCTAGGGCAATCCTCACTTGACCATGGGGATGCCAGGATGGTCATGCAAGGGTGTGGTCCAGTCATAAGTCATTTTTGCTAAAGAAATGGTTGTTAAGTCGAGGTCTACCTGTAAGACGAGTATTTCATCAAACTTAGCAACTTTAAAACACATGGACTTCGTTCTAGGCTTCCGAGACCATAATTACCCATACACTTATTTTAAAAACAAGTTTTGTTTTATTGCAATGTGGGGAATTACTTTCATTCCCAGCTGGTAATGAATTCTCAAACAGTCCCTTGAGAAAAGCACCCACATTTCTTTCCTGTGCCAATAACAGAAGTGTCAAATAAACTAGAACAAAAGCCAAGTGAAGTACAAAGACCTTCAGGAAGGAATCTGAACCGAACGAACAACTTTGCTTCCTGCAAAGGTTTCGTCATCTTTGCTTGTCCTTTATTCCTTATGGGAGGAGCAATCACTCCCAAGCCTTACTCCCGAATCACCCCTTTTGTTTCAGCTGCTCTCGCCTTCTAGCAGCTCTGGACACACGCGCACTGGGAACAGGCTCCCCTGGGTCCTCTGCCTTGCTGCTGCCAGACTTCGAAGGCTCCGGAGTCAGCATCCCACTCCCAGATGGTCCTGGCCCCATCTCTGCATCGGATGCAGGACCCTCATCTGAGTCCTCTCCAGACCCCCAGACTGATCCCTGTTGTTCCCCACTGTCCGATTCTGCTGCCATCTATACAGGCTGCCGGTGAACCACAACAGACTTCAACTTCCAGAATTCCCCAGTCAGCATGATAAAACATAATTCATTTCTGTTCGGTGAGGGTTACATATTATGGGACTCCAGTGTTTTATTCACATGGGCTTATTGTGATTGTTTGAACCCAGAGTCAGGAAAAGCTTTTACAAAAACTTCTTTCAGAAAGAGTCCCTAAGGCTTGGCTGAATAAACTCATTTATTCATACACTCTTTGCTCTTATAATTTTTTTCCTTTTAAAGGCCAATCTACGCAAAGAGAACACACATGATTCTAGCCAGAAGACTGAATTATTCCAGGCAGTTATTAAAAGTTCCTGGTTCGTTGGTTTAACAATGGAAACCTCATGCTTCTGAGATCAAACCCATGCTCAGCCCTCAAAAAATCTGACCATTTTATAGATTGTAACATGATGATTGTAACACTTATGATTGTAACACTTATGAACCCAACAAATTATGACCATAATTTCAGGCTCAATTATGGTTATAACTTATAAGTCAAGGACCATTTGCTACCAACAGTTAGTCTTCATGCTGAATGGGAAAGTCTTCTAACTGCCAATTGTTCTTAGCTACCAGTTTTAATTATGTAAAAGTGAATTAAATCAACTCAAAGTTTGACTGTCTTGGCATCAAGCAACAATTTTTGGACTGTAGCCCTAGGTATATCTAAAAATCCAAATGTAAGAAAACATTGAAAACATCGTGCATTCCCATTTTATAATATCCTGTCTAGGTTTTTATGCTTGTATTCTCATTATTTGAGTCTTTATACCTCCAGGTAGACATCAGAATAACCTGTTCTGATGTCCTGTATAAGCTGTCAATCAGGGGAAGGTTGTCTTGTGAAACTGAGAATTCTCTTTTCTTTGGGGGTTCAAATAAGAGTGGATGTTCAACTCTTAGATGTGAATTGAGAAGGTGATTTGGGTCGATCAATGTATTGTTGAGGGCAACTATAAGATGTAGGTGGACTTCAACTCCCAGCATGCTTCCTGGGAAATTCTGGGAGTTAAAGTTCACACATCTTAAAGTTGCTAAGGTTGAACAACCCTGTTACAGGCAACTTGGTGCCATGCAGTTGCTATTTTCCAATCAGCATTAATAAGGTCAACAAGATGGGCTTCAAGAACCGGAACAATACTGAAAAGTCTTCTGCCCATGCTTGCTATAAAATAAGACAACAGGTGTTTCCCAAGCCATTTGGAGCATGCTATCCCTAAAATGCTCACCAACAGCTGAAACGAGAGGCGGGGGAAGCAAACATCAGAGGGAGAATGGAATATATGGGAAGAAGATGTAGCTTGAACAAATGTGTTGCCTATTGTGGTTGGGTTTTTTTTAATATCTACACATACAAAACCTTTCATGGACCAGCCCAGTCCCAAGTGCTAGTTGACTGCTTCCTTATATGACCCACCAAAACACAAACTTTGCTTCACAACCAGGAATGATGAGCACTACTCAGGTGACCCTGAGGACACACAGAGAAACCTCCAAGTGCTTCAATGATCCTCTAAGGATGCAAATGACCAGCTCTGTCTGCAAGGAATATAAACCCTTCCATTCCTCACTATCCTCTCAGAGCTGAAAAAGCTTCTTGGATAAGAAGCAAAAAGGCTTCAAAAGAAAAAAGCAAGAAGATCCAACTGCCTCCTGAAAAAAAAAAGGCACCTTTGGGACAACCATGACCTGGATGACTGAGAACTTCTACAGACTTTTTGTGTCACAAGCTCAGACCATGCAAGACATCTCAATTTCACCAAGTCACCTTCTTCCTATGGCTCTACAAGGACCCAAAAATATCTCCCAGGTTGCGGCAGAAGCAGAATTGATTCACAGTGCTGCAGTCACAAAGCTAGGGGACATAATGAGTTGCCAGTAGCACCCCTTGAATGTTTCACATTCGACTATGATACACACCAACCCACTCCCTCCACTGTTAGTAGCTTCTTCTACAGCCCCAATGGAGAAAAGGACCCACAGCTAGTCCAACTCTCCAGTTCATCCAACTCAAGTCAGAGGGGATCAAAACTCACCTGGTGCTTTTGACATTCTCCAATCAAGAACTGCAAACAACAGGGTTATGATTCTGTCTATAAATTCAACCCCCAGCACTTTAGGGTAAGTCAAGACTGATTTTAAGTGAGCTTAACTGCTAATGACTACAGGAGCATCTCTGTCTAGCTTTCCAAGGTGAAGACTAGTTCTGGGTGTTGAAAAAAAATATATATCACAAAGTAATGGCAAATCTCTTTCGTTACCAAAGAATAGCACACAAATGTGCTCTTGTGATCAGCAGCATTTGAAACTTCCTTAAGTTTCATCACAGGAGGTGGCAGAACATAGCCAACCTTGGTTGATCTTCAGGAAGCTAAGCAAGGTTGGAGCTGGCTAGTTCTTATATGAGATGAGAAGATACCAAGAGACACCAGGCTATTGGATAAAATAGCATCTGAGAAGAAAAAAGTGTTGGCAAACTACTCCTGCTACAAGAAAATTGTAACTAGGAAACTCGACAGACGTCACCATCCATCATGAAGTTGTGTTTGAAAGTGGCACCCACAAGATGGCATCCAGGCATGCTTACCAGGGCATCAGGCGTCCAAAGCAAGTCCAGGAGCTTTTACTGATGAAGAAACCCACCAGGGGGTCAGTGATGGCATCCCACGCACGTCCCACAAAAAGGATGATGGATGCATAGAACGGGTCCATCTGTTAAACAGAAGAAGGGAAGAACCGCCATTCAACTCGAGCATGAGAGCTCATTCTCTCACTGTAAGTCATAAGGGAAAGCAAAGCAAATTGGTCTCTTGCAGAAAAAAAGGACAAGTAGAAACAAGCCAACCCACTGGGATGAGAGCAAGGTAGGGCAAAGTGGAAAATTCAGTATTTGAACCAAATCCGGACATATAAACTCAAGCCAGTTTCTTCAGCAGCTACAGCTGCAGAAATTCTCTTGCTTTCTATCTCTTTCAATAAATACAGGTAATAGCAATAAGCATTAGACTCGTATACCGCTTCCCAGACTTCTCTAAGCAATTTACAGAGTCAGCACATTGTCCCCAGAAATCTGACTCCTCATTTTACCCACCTCGGAAGGAAGGATGGAAGGCTGAGTCAACCTTGAGCTGGTCAGGATCAAACTCTTGAAGTGAGCAGTGAGTTAACCTGCAGTACTGCATTCCAACCACTGTGCCACCACGGCTCTTAATCCTTGACTTATGACCATAATTGAGTCCAGAATTATGCTGGTTAAATCATGCTGATTATTAAGCGGGTCATCATACACCTTTTTTGTATCAGTCGTAAACGAGCACTGCAGTCATTAAGTGAAGCTATTCTCCACAATGGGTGGTTTTTTTTCCTGCTGGCAATCAGAAGTAAATGCCTGTTTCCAGCAAAAAACGTTATGAATCATGGTCAGGTGAGTGTGAGATGTTACAAATGGGCATAAATGCTGGCCAGTTGCCAAGCACCCAAAATGTGATCATGTGATGGGGAGGGGCAGCTATTGGAACTTTGAATCCAGGTCTTAAGTAGTTTTTAGGCCTACCATAACTTCAAACAGTTCCTAAGTGACAAGTCTTAAGTTGAGGACTACTTGTGTGAGTCACTGTGGTTTTAATATTTTCTCCTGAGCTTCTCTAAGTGGATCAAATTCTGTTTCGAGCTGAAACCTGGCCTTGAGAAGTTGGAATCTGGAGATGCTTTATCAGATGGTGAAGTTATATTAATTGTCCCAAAGGTACTTTTAACAAAAAACAACAACTGGATTTCTTTTGGGATTTTTTTCCCTTTAAAAAATGTTTCGCTTCTCACCCAAGAAGCTTCTTCAGTTCTCGATGAGCTTCTTGGATGAGAAATGAAATGTTTTCAAAGAAAAACACCCAAGGAAGTCCAAGCTTCCTTTTAAAAAAAAGCACATTGGGACAACCATGAGCTGGATGATTTGAGTATCTCCATGGTCACATTAATTGCATGTTTAGGTCTGCCACCCTCAAGTTTTGAAATGTTGAGTTGCTGCATTCTTCACCCAAAGCTATGAACTTCTACATGCAATGAGGCTTCCGGGGACGACGGGGCCAAAATACAGATGGAACCACATGTCAACAGTTGTACATAACATTCATTGTTTGGTTGGCCTTTGGGGGATTGTTGAACCAAGCCGGTGTAGCTTGTTTAACAAATTACAGTTCAAGCAAGCTGGGGCTTTGTGGGATGTGTGAAGTCAAGTCGGTGAGTTACCAAGCAATAGGAAACACGTTGCTCTTCTCAGCAGGAGTTATTTACCGAAAGAGAAATGCCACTGAGAACATATAATCGAGGCAAGCAATGCACCACAAGAAAACAAGATGTTCTTCATTTGAGAACACTTGCCAGGAGCATGTAAAATGGACTGAACAATGCATTTAACAATTTGGTCATATATCAGGCTAGAAGTGGGGTGAAGCCCTTGAATCGGTTCACATTAATTAGGTCAGAGATTCTAGAGCCATTCTGTGCCCCGGGGAAACAAGACACGAAAGGGGAGCATGATGTTCCAGCTCAGAGAAAAGCAAGAGGCACCCCTGCAATTTGGGGGTTCTTCCTTCCCTAAGCTGGCATCCTCTGGACCAAACCTGGGCATTTTGCAGCACCAGGCCACATCCCGCTCTTTGGCTGTTCCTGTCTGGCCCACGTGAGGTCAATCGGAAATTAGAAATCAAACGTGAATAAGCACACAGCCCGATTGTTTTGGTTCTCCACAACAGCCTTGGTTTCTCATGTGGCCTCTTGGGAAAATTAATTGCCCAGCCCTGCTCTGGAGGAATGGGGCAGCCTATTTGCTATTGCTATGGCTTAGGTACTCCTGGAGTTCCTAAACAGTAATTACCCTGCTTCTAAGATTTCTGGGAATTTGAACTCTACCACAACCGGAAGATTCTGGATGCAAGAAAGGTGCATTACTGTGTAATCCTCCACTTACAACCGTTTGTTTAGCAATTGGTCGAAATTACCAGGTTACCATTGCAATCATCCCTCACACTGCAGTGTCCCCGCGGTGGTATGATCAAAATTTGGGTCCTTGGCAATTTATGAGAATTGCAATTTCCCAGGATCATGTGATCACCATTTCAAACCTTCCCGGTCAGCTTTCAACAAGCAAAGTCAATGGAACTTGCTTTAACAACTGCATGATTCACTTAACAACTGCGGCAAAAAGGCTGCATGAAACACTTCACAACCTCCTTGCTCAGCAACCGAACTCCTCCTCCCAATTGGGGTTGTAAGTCAAAAACTACCTTCACATGGCCCTGCAGAAGCCCTGGCATCCTGAGCTCAATAGGGAGGAGGGCTGCCCATAGCGTGGCTACAAGGGGCACAGCACTGAGACCAGATCTGAAAGAGCAACAAGGAAGTATCGCCGTACAGAAAGCTAGCACCTCAAGCAAAAGGCTATGCAAGAAGCTTCCTTGAAAAGGGATGACTCTACACAGAGTGGAGCATGTAGGAAATTTTGCACGGAACGAAAAGCTTTGGGGAGCTCTAACCCCACGAAAACAGCTCTTAAAAAAAATCTATACTGGGTGTAAATCTGTAGAAGTGGCTCAGCCTAGAACTGAATCCAACACGGGTCCCAAATAAGTTTTGATTTGGCCACCCTCCTCCCCCCAGCCTCAAAGAGAGGACTGAAGCCAGTGAAGACTTACCTGCACCACGTCCAGCAAGTAAATCTGGAGAAAGAATCCCAAAGCACAACCAGTGATCTGATAGGGTGCTCCACCAATGGCATAACACACTTTGCTGCATATTGATAACTTTGTTTTGCTTTCTCTCTGGAAAAAAGAATTTGGAAGCAATGGTCAAAAGCTCTAGAAGAAAAATCAAACGGGAGTCACTCTGTATCAGTGTTTCTCAACCTTGGCAACTTTAAGACACATGGACTTTAATTCCCAGAAAGTCGGCCGGGGAATTCTGGGAGTTAAAGTCCATATCTGTTAAAGTTACCAAAGTTGAGAAATACTGCTCTATGATCAAATGCAATCCATCTTTAAATGCACTCAACTCAGTTTGCAAAATTAACTTATTTTCTGGATTCACACAATACACTGAACAGGAAATTGACCCAGTACTTTGATTTGTACTTAGCTTCAGAAAGGGAGAATTTTGTACCTTCTAGAGTCTCTTTAGCAATATCTGCACGTATCTTCCTGAGGTATTTATCACTCCTACTTTCTAGCAACAACTTTTTTTGTTCACCCTTTGCAAATATCCCAGCTCAAATAGGCAATAAATCTCACCAAGGACAGATAATAGAAGCTAGTCCAGAAAAAGTGGTGTTTGTTCACGCTTTCAACCCAACTGGGATGAAAAAAACAATGAAACACTTTCTCCCAGTGCCAGCAGGGTCTATGTCTGAAACAACCTCCTCATTCACTCAAACAACTCTGGAAATGCTATCAACAATTCTTACGACTGAAAAAGTTGAGATGTTGCATTAAAGTATTCAGCTTTGAAATCCTCTCCCCCGTTGGACCCAACCAAGAAGTTAAAGCTGAGTTTTGAACACCACTGGATTTTTACCAGAGTTGATTATGTATGTTGGGGTGAACCCAGAAAATGTGCATCATCTCCAAGAAGTTGCGGTAATCACACACCCAAAACAACCAATCGGTGTGAACTTAGAAGGATCATCGTAAACATATTGGCTGAAATCACAGGAGTGCTTTTTAGAGAAAATCTTATTTACAACACTCAATCCATGCTACTGTGCATTGTTTTGAAAGAGTTTGCCATTCCTGATTTAATTAGGCTTCTTTTCTGAAATTCAGCTCAGTTTTTACTAATGAAAAGGCATGTCACAAGTGAAAGAATAGTGAGATCCTTCCAGTTAAGACATCCAGACACAAAGACTACCTTCACACCATCTTTAATCAGAGGTGGACAACTTGATGTTCTCCAGTATTTTGGATACAGTCCTGCCTTCTCTTGCCACTGGATATGCTGGCTAAAGCTGAATTAATATTTAAATTCAAAACATTGGGTGGGTGCCGTAATGCCTAGCCAAGTGCTATGCCCTGAATTCTGGCTTACATTCAATGGTTACCTCAAGATCAAGCCACATACGGTGGCCATGTTTGCAAAGCTGGACTACAATGCAATTGGGTGTTCAGTCATTTAGTGAATCCAGCTATTGTTTAGCCTTTTGTGTGGTTCACTTAACCCATAATGTGTTCACCCTAAAACCATCTGACAGAGCCCAACCAACTCTTCATCAAAACCCTTTCATCCCTTACAGCGCTCAGGTTACAGATTAAGAAACACCAGGTCTTAAGAGAGAATTGTCCTTGTCTATTAAGGTTTGTTTCCTGGCCATCCTGGTCAGTTAAACTGGCCATCCTGGTGAGAAGTGGAAACTGGGGTAAGAGCGCGAGGACGATTTTCAGCACTGAATTCCTCCATTCTTTCAAGACCTCTGCGTCCCGAGGTCACCTTCTCATGCATAATATGATAAGTCCCCACCTGATGCTAGAAATCGGGGCATTCCAGTCACCCATGGCTACGTGGGAAGTCAAACCCTGAAAAGCTGTCCTCGCATTTCAAAACAGGGATCCCCAAACTTGGCAACTTTAAGACTTGTGGACTTCAACTCCCAGAATTCTCCAGCCAGCATAGTTGGCTGGAGAATTCTAGGAGTTGAAGTCCACAAGTCTTAAAGTTGCCAAGTTTGGAGGCCTCTGATATAGGAGAAGCTTTTCCAATCAAATTAAAACTCAAGGACATTCCAAGGCTGTTTGGATTTGCCACAGTTCTGAAGTAGTGGTACCTAGACCGGTCCAGAAAGCTATGCTGGCTGGGGAATTCTGGGAATTGAAGTCCACAAAGTTGCCAAGTTTGGAGACTTCTGCATTAAAACCTCACCCCACCCCTGTCTCAAACAGCCGGGATTTCTCTGTAGTACTCCACACTGAGGCAGAAACACACACCCAGAGCCACGAGGCTTGAAAGAGAGACTTCAAGGGGAAAGTCTGCCTCCTTCCCCATGAATTATATATACATATTTTTTTAAAGGAAACGAGCCGAGTGGCTCTCACTGGCTGTGAGGCGTGTGTGTGCGTGTGCGTGTGTGTGTGTGTGTGTTTGTGTGTGTGTGAGAGAGAACGAGAGCTCTTTTCTCGCCTCTTGAGGTGTACATTTTCCCCAAGAGGAAGTCGCACCAAGGAGGCCGAACCTTTCTCCTCACACGGTTTATGAATGAACTTGAACCGCGCGGGGTCTCGTAAAACTCTTTAAGGCTGACTCACCGAAAAAGCCCGCTGGCTCGTTTGAAAAGAGGCGAAGCGGCTTTCCGGCGGCGTTAAAGCCAGCCCGCTTTCCGCTCTTCTCCTCAGCCCCCTTCGCTACTGCACGCCCCCGTTGCCCCGTTCACCCCGTCCTACCGGGGGAAAAGACTAACCTTGACCCGACGCCAGGGGCCAGCCAGCGCCTGCAGCAGAGCCATGGTGGATCGCCCGAGCCCGCTCGAATTTGAAGGCGCCGAGCCTTATAAGGGAGGCTCGTCCGCCCACCTCCGCCCCGATCCGGAGAGAGAGTGTGTGGGGGGGGGGGGGGGAGAGGCGGGAATCCGGACGGGGTCGCCGAACTTCGCCTCCAGGACCCGTGTTTTTGGTTTTGAGGTGGGTCGTTTCATTGCCCTCCCGGTTCCGCTCGGGAGGAAAAGGAGGAGGAGGAGGAAGCGAGCGAGCAAACGCGCACACCTCAGACCCATCCCCGGGCTTTCGGGATCCCACCCACGCCCGTCCCCTCTTCTCCGGTCGATCGGCTGCACGTGGATCGCCCCAGCTGTTTTCTCGCCGTTGCTTCCTCGGGAGTAAAAAAAAAAAAAATCCTCCCTGGCTTCTTCTCAGCAGGGCCAGCTGCGCGCGCGGGTTTCCAGCCCCTCCGCGCGCCCTCGCGAACTCTTTTCTCTCCCCCCACCCCCCCCCGGCCCCCCTTTTCGCCTGCTCCGCCGTTGCCTTTCGCCCTTACTTTGGATCGGGCCAGCTCCTCCGGTTTTAAGATGCTCGGTTGCAAGAGACCAGCCGAAGAGACGCTCTCAGCTCCTTCTCCTTTGGCCATTGGCAAGCCCCGGGGATCGGCTCCGAATAATCCACTGGATCTCCGTGCTTGAAAGTTTTCCTTGCCTTTCCTGGCTTCCTTTTCTGTTCCTTTTCCTTCCCTGCTTCTCTCCCCTTTTTCTTCCCTTCCCTTCTGCCTTTGCTTTGCCTTCTCCTCTTCCCCTCTTTTCTTCTCTTTCCCCTTTTCTTTCTTTTCTTTGCCTTCCTCCTTTCCTCTCTCCTTTCCCTTTCTCCTCTTTCTTCGTTTTTTTTTCCCCCTCCTCAATTCGCTTTCAGACGTTTTCTGTCCCGGCGCGGGAAACCTGCTTCTCCGGGAGGGAGCAGCGGCGGGACAGGCTCAGACGATCGGAAGGCTGCCGTGTGCGCGCCTCGGAAGAGCTCAGCCCGAGCGGGGGAGAATGAATGAATGCGCCCCTTTCTCCGGCGGACGGGATTTTTTTTTTTCGCGTGCCGCCAGCCGGGGCTCCACCCCGGGCTCGTTAACGGGGGAGGGCGCTCCTGGCCCAGCCCACCCGCCTCTGCCGGAATTAGAAACCCCTCCCCCCCCCCCCGCCCAAATTCTCCGTGTCTTAAGGGAGCCAATCCGGAGCCGAGCCTCTGAAAACACCCTCGCCTTTCCCACTGTGGGACAGCCGGCAGCAGGACTTGCCTCCTTCCAAAGACGCGGGCTGCGGAAAAAAAAAACCACCCAAAAAAAAGAAAAAGAAAAAGAACCCGACTTCTCCTTTCCGTCTGCTTGTTTAAAAAAAAAAATCCAAAGAATGCAGACTTTTTCTGAGATGCAGGGAGTCCTCGACGGAGCACAGTTCGTTTAGTGACCGTTCGAAGTTGCAGCGGCGCTGCAAAACAAGGAACTCAAGGCTTAGAACATGGCAGCATTGCATTTCTCAGGCTTACAACATGGCAGCATCCCTGTAGACGCAGGGGGTCCCCAAACTTGGCAACTTGAAGACTTGTGGACTTCAAACTCCCAGAATTCTCCAGCCAGTTCTTGCTTTATGGACCGGTCTAAGTACCACGACTTCAGAACTGTGGCAAATCCAAACAGCCTTGGAATAGACTGATCCAGAAAGCTATGCTGTCTGGGGAATTCTGGGAGTTGAAGTCCACAAGTCTTAAAGTTGCCAAGTTTGGAGACCCCTCTGCCGTAGAATCACAAGATCCAAATTCAGATGCTTGACACAGTTGCCTCACATTTATGACCACTGCATTGGCCCAGGGATCCTGGGATCCCCTTCTGGGACCTTCTGTTAAGCAAAGTCACGGAGGAAGCCAGATTCACTGAACAACCATGGGACCGACGTAACAGCTGCAGTGATTCACTTAACGACCGTGGCAAGAAAAGTCTTAAAACAGGGCAAAACTCACTTAAGAAATGTTTCATTTAACCACAAAAATGTGGGGCTCAATTGTGGACATAAGTTGAGGACTACCTGTACTGTATTTGCACCACACGCTTGGCAACTGGCGTGTATTTATGATGGTTGCAATGTCCCTGGGAACATGTGGTCCCCTTTTGCGACCTTCTGACAAGCAAAGTCCATGGGGAAGTCAGACTCATTTAACAACCATGTTTCTAATTGAATGAGTGATTCACTTAACAACTGTGGCATGAAAGGCTGTGGAATGTGCAGAAATGAATAGATTGACATTGGCAATTAGAGAGCAAGAAGAAAAAGAATATTATAAAATATGGGATTTATTTTATCAATGGCTAGATAAGAAAACAGAGAAATAAAATACACTATAATATACCGTAGATATAAAATAATAGTAAAGATGATGCATTGAAATGATATGTTATGTCTGTTTATTGTGAAATGAATGATATTATGAACTAGACGTTGTAAAAGTTGAGATTTGCTCAAAAAGGATGATATGAACTTATAATCAAAGTCTAATAATAGTTTCATAGCAATATAATATGATATGGATAGTGATTTACATAATATGAACTTTAAGTTTAGGAGAGAAAGACTGTTAATATTGTGCACAAGAGATATATACCAACCGACACACTGTACAATGGAAAGATGGTTTTATTTGATGTTCTGTGTTTGTGTTTTGTCTATGTTTGTTATCAAAATAAAATAAAAAATTCTTTAAAAAAAACAACTGTGGCATGAAAGATTGTAAAAAGGGCAAAACTCAACAATTGCCTTGCTTGGCAATGGAAATTTTGGGCTCAGTTGTGGTTGTAATAATTCAATATATATAATTCAATAATTCAATAATTTATTCATCACATTTTAACACACCGACCTTCCTCACAAGTAATGCAGTGTAATGCAATGAATATCATAGCCTGCGTTTTCACTTGAGGCAAGTACAGTATAACTAACCATAGAATAGAGCCTGAATTTGACCCTCACTTTAATCCTGAAGCCTGTTTAGCCACCATGCTTAATCTGGTTGTTGAATCAAGCAGAAATCAAGCCAAGATTAAAATTAACCAAAGTTGCAAGTTACAGCTGCTAAATTTTCCATTCATCTGATTAAGTATGTTGGGTAAATAAGCACAAACTAATTTATGGATATTTTAATCAAGCCTGTCGCCTGAACATCGAACTAGTTTGGTCCATTTGAGGGTCAGTGGATTGGGCAGCTCCTCAATTAATTGGATGAATTGAGAAAGCCTTAGCTTTGTTCCTTGTGTTAGGAAAACTTCCAAGGAACCACCTTGCTCAATGAGATAATTAAGCTTCTGAGACGGCCATAAAGAGTATGGAGTTTAAGAGCCGTAACTGGGTTAAGGATCTCGTTTTTTAAACCAGAGATTTCTGAGAAGAGAAAAAAAATTCAATTTCAATTTCAGATTTTGGAAATTTTTAATTTTTAAAAAAATTCTTCACTTCAAACTACTGTGGAAAGTCAGTGAATGCCATTACGCCTGTGGTCAATAAATTGTTGGCCTTCAGGCTAAATCCTGAATTTCATTGATTTCTGGCTTTGCATGAAGTGTTCCTGCAGGTTCGTTAATGGTTGTTTTAAAAAATCTGTCTTAGCATTGTTTGCAAACCAGCCTTTCCATAAGTGACCAGCTGACTTTCAGCCATAAATTGGTCACATCCATTTTAAAAAGCCTTTCAGGTTAGTGGTTGTTGTGGTAATAAATTCCACAGTGTAACCGTTCACCTGCTCTTCCTTTTCCCTAAACAAAGACAGTGTGCTGGTAACTTTGTGAAAAGTAAAGGAAATAGACAATTGGGGTATTAACAAATACGGAACAAGATTGTGGCTTAAGACTAATAGATGTACCTATTCCGACAAAACAAGACAGTGTGCAAATTGTCAAACTTTGCACTAGTAGTTCCTCAAACCAATGCCTTTTCCCGAAGATCTTTCAAAAAAGAGCATGCTTGAAAAAAATGTTAGAGACCAGAAATGTCATATGAGCAGGCAGGTTTTACACCTACTTGTTTTTCTTTGGGTAGAATAATCAGTATGGAATGTAGTGGACATAGTGTACCTTGATTTCCTCAAATCAGTAATAGCAACAGTAATCGCACTTAGACACATATACCGCTTCATAGTGCTTTACTTTACATTGCGGTCATATATCGAGGACTATCTGTAGTGAAAAAAGCAGATAGAGCTTTGGAAAGAATAGCCAGGAAACCGCTGTTCCTTTGCAAAGACGTGGGTGAGTGTGAAAGATGCCCTCTGCAATTCTTAGAAGATTTACACCAGCTTGGAAAAATATATGGGCGTATTTATGGTACAGCAATAGAACTTTTCTAACCTTCTGCCTCTTCTAAGCTCCTTCCTACTTAAGCAGAGGAAACTTAAACCTTAGTAGGGTTAGATGTGGGAAGAGATTTGCAATAGCAATAGCGCTTTGACTATATGCCAGTCCATAGTGCTTTACAGCCCCCTCTAAGCAGTTTACCGAGTCAGCGTCTTGCCCTCAACAATCTGGATCCTCATTTTACTGACCTCAGAAGGACAGAAGGCTGAGTCAACCTTAAGCTGGTCAGGACTGAACTCCTGGCAGTGGGAATGCAAAGTTAGCCTGCAATACCACATTCTAACCACTGCACCACCACAGGTAACGCCTCGGTGGAAATCTTAGGAGAGAACATAGTAAAATGAGGACTGGATTATGCTATCATTAAATGAATACGGAGTTGGCTGCACCTTTGGTTCACTGGTTCTGTGTCAAGCTGGAAGGAAGCATCGAATGTACATCGTTGTTCTGACCTAGGCTTTCTAAACCATAATTATTCACAAACTTGTTTTAAAAACAAAACCTATTTTATTGCAGCACTGGGAATTGTTTTCCTTCCCAGCCGGAATTAAGCTCAAACAGTCCCCAAGATAAGCACACACCTTTCAGTTCTGTAAAGTGATGCCAAAACAGAAGTAAAGCCCAGTTCAGCTCCAACAACAAGGCTTCCTGGAACTTCTCCTTGTAGCACTGAGCTCTTTGGCTTTTATTTTGAAATCCAGCACTCTTGGGCTTCAGCGCTGGATTTTAAAAGGCAAGCAGCTCCTTAGCACTACAAGTGCCGGGAAGCCAATGAATTAGTTAATTAAATAATACTTTTAAACTACTTTCTCTCCCAGCAATCTGGGCTGAAGCAGAATTAAACCATATCTGCTCCTTTGTTTTCTGAATACGAAGGAGGCTTAATTTCACACGCACACACACCAGCCACTTCCCACTCGTTCTACCTCATTTAGGAAGTATCAAATTAACTAGAAAAGAAACCAACCAAAATTCAAGAAAAACCAACGGAAGTAGCAAGAGCTTCAAGGATGACTTGGAACTGATCGAACTAGTTTGCTTCCTGCAAAGGTTTTGTCATCTTGGCCTGGCTTTTATCCCTAATGGGAGGGGCAATTACCTCCCAGCCTTACTCCTGAGTTGCCCCTTTTGTTTCAGCTGCTTTCACCTTCTAGCAGCTCTGCACATACACACACACTGGGAACAGCCTCCCCTTGTTCCTCTGCTTCGCTGCTGCCAGACTCCAAAGACTCCGAAGGCAACACCCCATTCCCAGATGGTCCTGGCCCCATCTCTGCATCGGATGCAGGACCCTCATCTGAGTCCTCTCCAGACTCCCTGACTGGTCCTCGTTCTTCCTCGCTGCCTGATTCTGCTACTGTCTGCACGGGCTGCCAGTAAACCACAACAATCATAGAGTTAAGACTTTTTTGGTCTCAGTGTACAGGTAATCCTTGACTTATAACCACAGTTGGGACCAGGATTTCCAAGGCTAAGCAAGATGGTTGTTAAGTGAATTGTGCCAATTTTATCACCTTTTTTGGCACAGTTGTTAAGTGAATCATGTGGTCATTAAGCAGTCTGGCTTTCTCACTGACTTTGCTTGCCTGAAACCAGCTGAGAAGGTCATGAACAGAAACCACATGACCCCGGGATGCTGCAACAATTGTAAATACATGCTGGTTGCCAAG